ATTCCTGCTTCTAAAACTGCATTTATGGGTGGGATTTAGATTCTGAAAATGTCCCAAGAGAGGCGTTCGTGTCCAAGGGCAGGCTGAAAGGCACTGGCAGAGCTGCCTTCAGATCTGTTTCCTGGCAAGTGTGACCAGTTCTTGGTTAGAAATACAATGTGCCTACAAATGAGATGATAAAATGAACAAATCTTCCTTTTAAAAAAGTCTATCTTAAGTAAGGTTTCTTTCTCAGAATAAAATTCTCAGAAAGAGACAGAAAGTAGATTTAGTGGGGTTGGGGTGAGTACAAGGGATCTTTTGGGGGTGATAAAAACATTCTAAAACTCTGTGGTGGTGATGGTTGCACAACTCTACCATTTACTAAAAAGCATTGAAGTGTACACTTAAAATGGGTAAATTTTGTGGTGTATAAGTTGTACTTCAGTAAAGCTGTTAAAAAGATTCCCAGAAATAACTTGGTACCTATTACCTAAAAACCAATTACTGGTGAATTAGGGGTGAAGAGGACACATCTGTGGAAATCAGGGGGGCCCCTAAAGCCAACTTTCTGAATGGCTCCCCTCTGTTCTGAATTTTTAAACCTGGGTGAAGCAAATGGTAAGAGAATATAGGACTGGGAGCACACAGCTGGGGGCTGGATTGAGGTCATTTCCACTTTGTGTTTAATGTCAATGACAGGCATTTGAAAGAGACAATCCATACAAGCCAATAAAAGTGAGTGGAAAAGAAACGGCTGCTTAAAATGTCAAACTCTTTCAAATCAAAACAAAAAACCTAATAATTTAATAAGTGGCATCTGCCCTTTCGTTTTTATACTTTTAAAACTGTGATTCTCCTTTTGACAACAGAAAAAAAGCTGACATTTTATATCCGTGCCTGAATCTTTGCTCTTATAAAAACAAATAGTTGAAAGTGGAATTTAGGATCTTCCTTGAATGGGGAGGAAGGAGGTATAACAAGGGCATATAGCAATGGACTCCATCTTCAGGGCCCACACTGGGACTCTGGTAGGTGGTCTCATTCTGTGGTTGAAGCAAACCTGGTTAGCTTTGCCGATCAAAATTCCCCAGCCTGTGTGGCTGGTTGGATTGGTTGATTTAACTACGGTGCAAATGAAGAAGACCATAGGTGTGATAATAAAAATTTCACTTGGTCAGTTCATGGCCTTACAAGATAACCCGGCCTTAGCCAGCAATTTCACAAAGGTAAGAGGGATACAAGGGCAGCTGGATGGAAGGGTGTGGCTGCCTCATATACACATTCATTTCCCCAGTCCTGGAGAAATAACCCAAAGTACACATTCTACTAAAGGTTGGTCAGAATCTGCCTCTGTAGATGAAAAGGAATATGATTTCACAGTGAAAACTTACCAGTAGATGTTCAAATGACGCAGGATGGAAACACCAACGATTGGTTTCCCAGCAAAAGGAGGTGAAGTGACTTGGATGAAGCATTTATAAGCAGGGTAGCAAAATCAGTTTGTCTGAGAGAAGCATGGACTTAAGGGCCACCTGTGGTCTCCTCTGCTGATTTATTTAACATTTAAATTACAAACTAGGAGAAAGTGACAGCAGGAAAAGTGGTACAAAGAAGGCAAAGGTTGAAGATGAGAGTGTCCTGATTCTCACTGCTTTTCCCTCTTTCCTAAGTCCAGGACTTAGGAGGCTTAAAACTAAGTGAAGTCCAGAGCTGTAGTCTTTTCCCAGAATTCTTTCTCTTCTTCCCCTGCGTTCCTCTTACCTCTTTTCCTCTATTACCCATTACTGTCCCTTTACTCTACCCCTAGCTTCTTACCGCATGTACTGACATTTATGTGGATAAAAAACTGGCGTAGAGAAAGAGCACATGGACAGCTCTTGGCCACTTACTGTGAGCCCTAGGGGAAAGTAACGTGACTCAGCTTCGGAGTCTTGATTTTTAAATGGGGTTAAGGCCACACTGCAGGGTTGTTGTGTTTAAAATGGGACAGAGTTCACTAAAACCCTTTGAAAACTGTATCACTTAGATTATTCATTAATTCTAAGATGCACATTTTGCTTCCTATTTTCACATCTCTGGAATAAGTATGTATCTTGCAATCAATGTGTGTCACTGTTTAATTGACAGCGTTTTCCATAAAATAATGGTGTACTTATAATCGATGGTGTCTTAGATCGTATGAAATATGGCAAATATTATTCCAATTTTTAGAAGTTGGTTACAATGTCAGATAAACTGGTTAATCACCTGGGATAGCGCAGTAATGACAGATGATTTTTTAAAAATAAATTTATTTATTTAATTTATTTTTGGCTGCATTGGGTCTTTGTTGCTGCGTGCGGGCTTTCTCTAGTTGCGGCGAGCGGGGGCTACGCTTCATTGCGGTGCGCGGTCTTCTCATTGCGGTGGCTTCTCTTGTTGCAGAGCACGGGCTCTAGACGCGCGGGCTTCAGTAGTTGTGGCTCTTGGGCTCTGGAGCGCAGTCTCAGTAGTTGTGGTGCACGGGCTTAGTTGCTCCGTGGCATGTGGGATCTTCCTGGACCAGGGCTCGAACCCATGTCACGTGCACTGGCAGACGGATTCTTAACCACTGCGCCACCAGGGAAGCCCCGACAGATGATTCTTAAAACCCAGTTTCATATTACTTTGTGAAGAGGTCTCACTCTACTAGCACTAATTTGAAATCAGATCCATTTGAAAAGAAATATAATGTGGTCATCTCTAGGTGGTGGACTTATAAGTATTTTTTCCTTGTACTTTTCCAAATTTTCTGCAATAAGTATTACATATATATGTATATAGCATTAGGAAAATAGTATTAATAAATATCAAAAAATGTGCTTACCACTTTGAGGATTCAAAATATGATGCTTATTCAATGACCAGCCTCCTAGGTTAGAAGCATCCATCTCGAAACCTTGTAAGATAACAGTCCTTTTTTCCCAGAGAATAAAGTCGGGGCACATTTCATATTCATATCCCACAGACACTGCAAACAAAGAGTTAATAACACATTAGAACATTTAAAAAGATTTGCTTCACTTTTGCACTGGTTGGTAAGCCTCTGGCTAACACATCTGCTATTGAATTCTGATTTGGGTTGAAATTTGACCACAAATACTTTTCACCTAGCATAGCATCGGGCATCCAAAAGTGACCAGTCAGTGCATATTGGATAAATATATGAATGAGTGACTCACTGAGGCTGTCATTAGGTATGCACCATATGTTTTGGACATCAAGCTTTAGTATGGGCTTTTGGGTAAAAGGCTGCATTGTAAAACTGAAGAAATAAGCTCCCTGAAGGCTTAAGCTGTGGTGATACAATTTCTTTCTTTACCTTTGTAGTAGAAGTGCAGGGAAAGTTGTTTTCTGATCTCTCTGGAGTGCAAAATGCACTTAGGAAGCTGGCTTTGGAGTACTGGGTCACTTATACAAGAACTGACTACACATGAGACTAATAAAAATCGATTCGCCCATTTATATTTTCTCCCATGCTAACTGGCCTTTAGTTTGCCAAGAAGTCTGAGTTTGCTTAGAGTGCTACAAGCACTGTGAGTGTACATTCCACTTTGTGCATGTTAGACTTTGGTTTCTAACCAGTGGGACATCACCCAACATTTGGCTCCAACCCTTTTGAAGCACGGATGTCGTGCATTAAACTGGGAACCCCAGTATGGCGCTAAAATGGGAAGTGCAGAATGTGATAACTTGGGTGCCTCTGCTCTACTGAAATAATATGTAGAACTCAAGTATACCAAGTCCCAACCATTTTCTCAGTTGGTAAATCTGCCTACCTGTTGGAACCCCAGAGTTCCAATTCTTGAATTTAAAATGCTTTGTGTCCTCATAATGTTCTAAGCCTGAGAGTATTGGCTCATTACACTGCATAGCCCAAAGCTAGCTGCTTTTCCCCCTTTCTGGCAGCTTAAAATATCCCTAGCTGGTCGTGTGCCATTGCTTTCGAGTACCTGCCTCTACCTGACTCTTCAGATGCCCCTGGAGAACTCATTTCTTTCTTTGTCATCTGGTTATGAAAACTGGTAATGAAAATGTGTGCTTAAACAATGCCAGTGCAATAGGTCCTAAGAGGAAAAATTCAAGCAGACTGGTTTTGGATTTGGGCATTAGGAGAAGAGAAAATATGGTAATTTCAGTCCAACTGATTTAGGTGTGCATGTGCATGTGTGTGCGCAAGCACATGCACAGATAAGCCAAAAAGCCCTTATGATTGTGAATATACAACTCATTACCTTTGGGGGGGGGTCATCTGTGGCCAATTTTAAACCACAGGCTGACTTCTCTTTGTCCCCCCTCCATCAAAGCTTTAAAAGGGACCAGGACCATCTTCACGTTTAGAAGGGCCCCATACTTGGTTTAATGTTCTCCTGTCACTGTCTTGAAATCCTTAATACGTTTTTAACAAGAGGCTGGGTATTTTCATTTAACACTGGGCCCTGAAAATTATGTAGCTGGTCCTGATGGGGATGCCCTTCTACCCTGCCATCAGCTGGTGAAGACTCTTGGAATGCAAACTCATTTTAGTATTAGCCCTAACCAAGCACTATTAGCAAGGGAGATCAATAGGAAGCAGGAAAGACTAATCATACAGTGGAAATGATTTCTAAAGGGAAATTAGTTTGGGATCATCTGGTTCAATGCTGTTCTCTATTAAGATGGACAGAAACACAGAATTTCAGTGGTGAAGAGGATCTCAAAGGTAAATCTAGTTCAGGTTACACGTATGGCACAAATCATTGCTGTCTACAATCTCCTTGATATCTTACCATGTCCCCAATGCTTTGCTAAAACAACTCTGGTATAGTGGAAATAACTGGTTTCAGACCTAGAGTCAGAAGAGACTTCAATTCTTGGGTCTGCCATTAACTAGCTGTGTGGTTGCAGGCATATTATTCTCCATCTCCGGGAGTCTGTTCTTCATTGTAACAAAGGAGGAGGGGAGAGGATAGACTAGAATTGGTGGTTCTTAGACCCTTTCGGGTCAGCGAACCTTTTGTTATGAATGTGATAGAAGTTATGGATCTTCCTCCTAGAAAAACGCATATGCACACAAAATTTTATATATAATTCTAGGGGGTTCACTGATCTCCTGAGGTCTAAATAAAGATCTCAGATCAAAGACTGCTGTACTAGGTAATTCTTACAGTCCCCCTTTAGCATTTCACTCTATGATTCTAAAGTGCATTCTTTCAAGATTGCATTTGATCAGTTCAAGCTGGGGAATCAAACCCAAAAGCCAAAGAGAGCACTGTATCTCATGTTGGAAAAATCAGGGGCTGAGAAAGCACGCTTAGGGCCATGTTGGTGTGAAGAATAACACAGTTTCTGCTTCTCTTGCCAACATTTAAAAGTCTTGATTAATAAATAATCACAACGATAATGATTACAAGTTCCCTTAAAGCCACATCTCCTTCCCTGCTATTGTCAGGATCTGCCTCTTATACATTGGAAGCCTGATGTGCTCCCCTAGAATCTCTTCTCCGGAAGGTGATTGTGCAGTTTTGCAAATAAGTAGTGTGCCCTGGTGACCTCCGATGGTGGTTTGGAGCCTGCTTTTTCCCCTCTCAGGAGCAAAGATCCTCCCAACTCTGTGGCAGGAGATGCTTATATAAAGTATCCTCAGTGCAATGGTAATGAGACATCCTCTTCACCCCCTCATGTCTGAATTGCTCTCTAGGCCACAACAAAAAAGTGCACTGGCTGCAAACCCCACAATTATATTATTTTTTTCCCCTAGTCATAGCAAACAGCAACAAGGCGGCCACTTAATAAGTTCCCTCTAATTTTTATTAGATTTACTTTCTCTTGAGAAAACTCTATGAGCTAATAATGTTATGATTTATACTTAAGACTTGTCCAAAATTCCAACTGACTTTAATGAGAATGGCTGTGTGTGGCTCCTTGCTCAGAGTAACAAGGCAAGGTTTCTTTCTGACAGCAGCCGCTTTAACAGAATCCTGGAACTTGCAGTCGGTGTATGAGAAGGCAGACGTTTCACCCCACGGAGCTGAGCTGCTCTCCAAATGCACAAGGAACTGGCAAATACAGTAGCAACCAATCCTAGACTTCCTCTCATGGAAGCAGACTGTAACGCACTGAACGCCTACTCTTTTTCATATAATTAAATATGGGGGAAAAAGGGCTACTCAGGGGCTGGCACTGAAAAGGCTGAGCCCCGACATTACACTCTGCCTGGTACTGTGACAGCTGAGTCTCAGTTAAATAAACAGAGTGGACCCACTACCACTTCCCAGGTGGCCTGGTGCCTATCACATCTGATCGTCAACACAGCATGGCGTAGGCAAAGGATTCAGCCTCCGGCATTCTGGAGTGGGGTCTGGGAAGAACAGTGTAATAGGAAGGAAAGAATAATTATTCATCAACATTTCAGAGGCGCTATGGAGGACAGACTGGTCTGGCAGTGAGTGGAGATAGGTGGGGAAGGAGGGGGTCCCGGGCTATACTTCCTAGGGGCTGGTGTAGTGGTCCCATGCTGGTGTGTACATATTGGGAAGGCAGTTGAGAAAGAGCCGTTAATATGGCAGAATACTTTCTCTGAACCATGTGACTGCCTCTCTTGTGACACCCTTAATTCCGTCTGGATTTCTGTCTTCCGATATTCTCTCCCTCACCTTGGCACAGAGATGTTAATGGGATGTTCCTTAACCAAGAGTCACTGACTGTCAAGATAGCCTTGCTTCTTTTGTAGAGGACGCCGTCCTCTGGTCACAGGATTTGCACCTGACTTCACTGTTAGTCATCTTGCAACAACACTGGCTTATAAAGAAGACTTTATTCTACTGGCTTATAAAGAAAGACGGCAGCTTGCTCCCCCAAAGCCATTTGACATTAGAAAAATAGTAACTGAATTACACTCTACTTATCAGAGCAGCAGCATTAGTGTGATGCGGGGACTGCAAGAAGGTGGCGGGCCACAGCACTCCTGACACCCGATTTAGTGACTGTGACATTCACCTATAAGGGCTGCGATAGGAGACTGACATTAAATAGCCAGGGTAAAGATGCCATGCAATGAATCTGATGTGCAAAATATGACAAGATTAAGCAGATGATTTTCAACAGCTTCAGGCTAAGGCTTCAGAATTCATAATGGTTGCATTTATGAAGGCAATATATAATTAAAAGTAGTCTGACAGTCAGTGTGAGAAATTTATGTTACCTTCATGAACTCAAGGAACATCTAAAAATAATTTCATCACATTTAAAAGGTAAGTAACAGCAAGATCGAAACCTTCTTATTGAAAAGAAATCATTAAATAGAACAAGAAATATTTCCCATTCTTTTAAAATAGTAGATTAATATAAAACAACAACAATAAAAGACGAGAGGCCTAACAAACCAAATGAAGACCACGGCCACAATAGACAAAAACTACAGATAAAATGCTATCTACTGAGAACGGGTACCTGCTCCCAGAATGACTTCTACTTTTTCCTATTCTCTAGTGATTTCTCATAGGATAAGATAACCCCAGAGACTCCTCAATTTGACACAGTGCCCAGTGGCCTGAAATGCTTTGTTTATCTATTATTCCTGGCTTACTAAGAGTGTCAGAATCAGGTGATGAATTTTTACCAAGTGCCTTTTCAGTACTTATGGAGATATTCACATAGTTTTCGCCTTTAATCTATTGAGGTGGTAAATTCTAGCAATACATTTCCTAACGCTGAACCATCTTTGAGGTCCTAAAATACACTCTACGGTACTTGGTTATGACGCATTATCCTTTTAATGAGTCACTGGATTTGATTTGGTAATATTTTACTTAGGATCTGCGCCTTACCAGTTTACAAAAATAACCCTACCAGTTTAAACATCATAGTGCTAAAAGCGACACAGTAGTTGAATGAAGAGAAAATACAGGTAGAAAAGGTAAAAAGCATCCAGGAGTGAGGTAGCCACACAGAGTTTCGGCCAAGAGGTCCTGTACACTGACAACTTACCTT